CTGCATGTCTTCCATAAACACGCGCCCGGTTACCCTAGAGACTGCATAGGTCATCGCCTTTCAAGCGTAACCAGGGTCACCATGCCACGTTGAGACGCCGAGCCACGTGTATTGTTGTCTTTCACGCATGAATCGTGACATAGTTGGCTAGAATTGTGTGTGTGGTGTCTTGCCAGTTCATTTTGGCTGCACTTATTTGTTTTTTTTGGCGCGTATTGAGTAATCCTGTCAATGGCTGTTGCCAGCGCCAAAAACAATTCCCAGATTGAAAAAAAATATTTTCCAAAGAGATGTAATTGGTTAAATTTTTGCCTCTAGAGGAGAAAATGGGGACACCTCAGGCCAGTCGCCATTTGACACTGATACCCTCTGAGATGACCAATATATATATATTACCGAATTAAATGAAGTTCCTGTATGCACTAGAGTATGTATATGAATGATTCAGGCATTATACGAGTGTAAAACATCATAAACTAAGTATATTTCAGTTAAATGATTACCTGTTCTCCGGTTGTTCCGAATAAACGCATTATAATCCAACGGAAAGTATCTCATGCGTGGGACAGGTGGAGGGTGAATCGGAAAAAATCCGAAAGAACCGAGCACTACGTCTGGGGATGCTTGTGGAGTCGTGTTTGGCAGGGCTTCTTCCCGTAGACGCAGCCAGCCCCGCAACACAACCGCCAGCCACGACGCCACGCGAAAAAAAGGCAACACGCCGTTTCTGCTGGCCTGCCTGGCCCAATCGCGAGACGAGGTTAAAACAAACGATCCTGTGTTCCTATTGGTGCGACCAGATTTCGACTAGCCAATCGCGTTGGAGCTTACGCATGCATAAATATCGAGGAAAAGGCGCTTGACGTCTTAATGGTTTGAATTGCACGTGGTAGTGTTTTATTGTCTTCTCCTCTTTTCTCCGCCTTACCTTCTAGTCGTAACTTTGACGAGGGCGGTGAGGCAGACCCGGTTTCAGCTGATCGCGAGTTCTTTGAAGGCCTCAGCATACTGACTCTGACTGCTGTTGAATGCGACGATGCTGTCGGTCGCTTGGGGCAGAGCATTCCTCTCCTACTGCCGCAGATTCGAAACCGCTTGCGGGTTAGTCACTTCACAAATCGTTCTTTATTCCGCTATGATCTTAACCGCGGGTTTTTATTTCTAACATTCTAAGTGTCAAGCTTTGATAACTTGATATGGCCTCGCTCTGTGTGTTGTTGGTGTGTCATAGACGTTTAGCGTCGACTTAACATAAAGGAAGGAATCGCCTTATTTGGCATCATGTTTCACTTCAAGTTCTGTTCCAAGTGTGTGCTAGTGTGGTGTGTTCGCTTGCTTTGTAGGAGTACATCAAGTTCTTCCTGCACTACCGATTGGGCACTTTTGACCGGTCGTTCAGCCACTCCAGGCCAAACACGAGCTACCTGAGGCTGTCGGAAAGCATGACCTCCGGCGGCAACTCGGCTAATAACTCCTTCCTTGAGGGGGCGGCCGAGCTCGTGTTGAACGAGGATCCTTTCGCTGGCGCGCCAGCCTCTCAGGTTGTGCCTGTCCCTTCATGTAAGTCGATTCTCCAGAACGCCATACCAATCACCGGCGATATTCTAACTCTGATTTGAGTTGCGATGGTCATGTGTGTGTGCTTCCTTGTCTCCTCAACTACTAGTTTGGTCATTGGACCGGCATTCTAGCCTATGATTTATCGGAACCTACGACAAATCTAGGTGGAACAGTGAATCAGATGTCAAACCTTGGTTTGGTTTGAGCAAGTTAACAAAAATGTAGTGGCTTTGTCGCTTCTTTTCTGAATTCTCACGACGTCTTCTTAATCCGTTGCGTGCAAGTAACAGCTTTAGTTGGATCAGAGCCTGAGGTCACTCCGAATCATGCGCTAGAACGGTGTTTGTCGGTCTGTTTCATGGCAAAAGCTACTTTTAACCAAAAGCGATTTTGTAAAAACCAAGAATGCCTTATGCACCCCCTAACATTAACCCAATCTTCCCCACTAATTAAAGTATCAATTGGAAAACCCAAAATGGCGAAAGCATCTTCGTCTCCGCCAACCGCAGAAGGCTTCGCCTCCGACCCAAACTCCTGGCTTGAGACGGCTGCGAACCACGCCATCGACGGGACACTGGCTTGTCTGCGCCAGCTCTCTGTTCTCCTCAATTACAGTCAGGACGAAGATGTCGATATTGGCGGTTTGGCTTTGATAGTCTGTGAAACGATCAACGACTTTGCCAAATTGCTTTCCACTGCTCCAACCCAAGAGGACAGGGAATTGAATGACATACCTGCCCGGTGGATGAGCCGCCTCGCAAATGTGATTCAAGTGACCCTCTTCGTCGCTTCTTCTGTGGCCTCTGAACTGGGGAAGCGGAGCGACGGAAAAATGTTAGTTTCGGGTCCTCTTAGTTTCACTTGAAGTCGACTCGGCAAGCTGTGTGAAGATTATCTTTTATTTAACAGGCCCGACGCGTCACATTGGCCACCATCCATTCTGGGGGTCCTATTACTGGCCCTGCACGCACTGAGCTCAGACTCGGCGGCGCGGCATTCTCCGCTCTCACCAACACTGCGTCTTATCACGCATCTCATCGAAGGAGGACAATTGCCACTGCTGGAACACGCATTCGTTCAGAGCTCCGCCTCCCACTGGTGGAACATCGGCGACTTGGAGCCGCACAGCGTGGGGCTGGAGCTCTTGGCTCGACTCCAGGACCTCCATGTGGCTCCTGCGCGAGAGCGGCACGAAGGCGCGTCCTTCATGAGGTCTTGGATGACGTCAACCAATTCCCTCAATTGTGAGTTCTTTCCCAGATTCCACAGGCGGGGATGATAGCTACCAGTAAACCTTATTGACATGGTTGAGCGAACACCAATTTTTCACTTCACTGACCACGAGAGTGAACTGTAGGAGAGTGCGCAGTTGCATGCTATGCAGATATGCCGAATCAGCATTCCTGAAATGATTGTCCATACAGTAATTGCGAGTGGTTTTGTTAGAGTACGGCCTGTTCTGAATTATTTTACTCTGCCATTTCCCTGTTTCCTGAACTTTGCAAGCCAATCTTTTGATACAGAGCCGTTCTTGCAGGTGCGCGATGTTTGCTGTTTTTTCCTTTTACCCAGCTGATTCACCTCAAGATCGACTTGGCTGCCCCCTACTCCTGCTGTGTAAAATCGTGAAGTCGGAAGGTGTTCAAACCAATGAATCGGATATCGAGAGATGCTGCAGTCTGTTGGCTGAGGTATGTCTTCCGACGCCACTTGTCCTCAGTGTTACTCAGCCCCCGGGGTATGTGGATGAACGCTTTTCTCTTTTAGTTTGCCAAGTTCACATCTACGCTGGTAACTGACAGCCAATCGACGCGGTCCACCTCCTGCGCTTGCACCCTGGAGGTACGTATTGCAGTGTAGCTTCTCAGTGCTCTGGTGAATCAGCTTTACCGATAGGTGGATGTCTGATGATCAGTAATGACCCAACTGCTTCACCTTGAAGTAGCTAACGAGTGCTGCGGCTGTCATTGAACCATTTTTAGAATTTGGTCTGGTTCGAGTTGACTTAATCAACTGCAATTCTGTTGATCATACTTTATTGGTCGATATCGATGGGGATAGTATTGATGGCTCTATTGAAGTGTAGAGTATGTGGTGATAAACTGCTCCGATTGAAACTTTGAATTCAAAATGACGTAGACGTGTTGTACTTGTGATGTTTGATTCATGGCTTTCTGATATCTTGAGTCACTTCCACTCTCTAGATGTACTCCACGCTGATTGGCCTCGGTGTGATCCCGGTCGACTGGCTTTTCCGCCAATCAGAGAAGAGCTCTCGTCTGAATGACGTTTGCCTCTCAGCTCTCGGTTGTCTGACTCAGGCTCTTCAATCGCTCCTATTGGCCCACGGTGATAGGGACTTTCAGGCCTACACTGATCGTGTTCCCGCATTTTTCAGCATTATCTCGCGCCTTTCTCGGTGGTCTCGCTTGAAAACTGACACCGCGCACCTCATTCACCCTCAGTTGGTGGAGGAACTCTATGACTTTGATAACCCGCAGGTGGTGGCTGGGCCTTCAACCACCAATTAAATTCATTTAATTCACTTCATCGATTTTATCATACTTTCTCAGATTTACTCATGTATATTATATTTTTAACAGCAAAATACAGCAATTTCGTGCGGATTTTTGGTCTTTCTGTGTTTGCTTGCTAACCGTTACATCCTTGATCGCCTAAGCAGGTCGTGACAAGTAGGCCCATCACATCCGATTATCCTGCCTGCTGTGACTTTCTCTGGTAATCGTTTAAGCTATCCACCGATTTCTCTGTTTGCTTCAGCATTTGCTGTTACAATGTACGCCAAAGTTCCGTCATGCCCCACTCTCGATGATGTAACTCGCCGCGATCTCGCCCACCGCCTATTCCACCTTGGATCCCTGAATTTCAGTGGTGTACAGTTGAAAACTGGTGAAATTACTCCAGTGTACTTCGATATTCGTCTCACAATGTCCGATCCAGTCCTTCTTGTGAGTGCTTTTTTTTAAAATCACATCAATTTTTTCTGAAATACACTTCTGCGACAGTTACCCCGTGCCTTTGTAGCAAGAGCTTTCACGCTACATGTTCGCCATGATCGGCCACGCGACCGGAGACAAATTCGATCTCGTTACTGGCGTCCCTGCTGCTGCGGTTGGATTAGCCACCGTGAGTTCTCGTGTCTGTCAATTAGAGAATCGCCTAAAGTCAGTCGTTTACGGCCTTTTTTTCGCCTGGCAGGAAGTTGCCGTGCAAAATAACATTCCAATGATTCTCACTCGCAAGGCCGCCAAGGACTACGGAACCAAGAAGGTGATTGAGGGCATTTGGAAGAAAGGCCAGAATGTCCTTGTGATTGAAGACGTAGTCACCTACGGCGACAGCATTGCTGAGACGACGGCGGTAGGTTTATGCCCCATTTACGGCATCTTGGTGCATTTGTTTTCCAAACAAGACGTATCTTGCAAGCTCAGTTTTCTTCTTCCAGCTCCTTCGTGCGAGTGGATTGAAGGTGGAGCACGCGCTTGTGGTTGTTGAGCGCCAACAAGGCGCCACGGAGAATTTGCTCAAAAATCACGGAGTGAAGCTTCACGCGTAGGTTCTCCATTCCCTTACTCCCACCCTATTGGTACTAAATACACGTGCGTAATTTTTAATCCCCTTTGTGTCGTTTCTCGATTTGACAGTCTTTTGACCCTGGATGACCTTCTCGACATTCTCGCCGCTGATGGCCTGGTCCCGCCCGAGCGCGTGATCGTCGCTCGCGACTTCATTTCGGGTGCTCAGTATGATAGGGTAAGTGTTACAGCCAATAACTTGCCTCATTCAGTGAACGTTATCGTCCGAAGTCGTGTGTGGGTGTGTGTGTTCATGTGTCAAAGTCGTCTACTAATGTCTCTTTGTTAAAAAAAAAGTACATGTTTTTGGACTCCTGCGTTATTTTCTGGTCAACTTCCAGCACAGTAAGATCCCACTTTTTGTGCATGTGACTGATTGCACTTTCCCAGTCGGTCACTCAGTGGTAGATGCGTTCACTGACAGAGATTGCTGTTGCTCCCTTCTGAGAATTGGGCCAATCAATACTGAGATCGAATCGGAATTTCGGTGAAGGTCGTGACCCCGGAATCGGTGGCATGATCTGTGACTGCGCATTGTAATGCACTAAGTGAATTGTTCTATTAGTCAGCTGTGCGCTTATGTACTTTTCACTGCCTAGGTTAAGGGCAAGCCCTCAAAATTCGTTCCCGACTTCTGCCCCGAGTTGAGATCTAGATTGGCCAAAATCATTCACCAAAAGGCCACCAACATCTGCCTCTCCGTCGACGTGCCAACATCTACGGGGAGCCTTCTCCAACTTGCTGATGAGGCTGGTCCAGGCATTGCCATTTTGGAAGTCAATTATGACCTCCTCTCGGACTACCGCGACTTCCTTCCCACCAAACTGCGTACCCTCGCCGAGAAGCACAACTTTTTTCTACTCGCCGACTGGTAAGCCGAATCGCGTTTGAATGCCTGGCGAATTCTCCGTATCCGGCTTCAATAACTGTGTGTGTGTGTTTTAACCCCACCAGCAAGATGGCGGAGGACGGTTGGATTGCTCAGTTGAAGCTGAGCGACCAGACTCACCTCAGACTCTCCGAGTGGGCCGATTTGATCTCCGTTCACGCGCTCCCCGGGCCCGGCGCGTTGTCCGCTCTGCGCTCCTTCAATACCTCCCTAACTCACAAAATCGGCGCTTTGATTATTTACGACATGCAAACTAAGGTGAGGACGTCTGTGGCCTGGGTTTGTCATGTGATGTTGACTTGGGCTTTTTTTAATACTAGTTTTATGTGCGTCAGACGCACCAGTTGTCGGGATTGGCCATCTGAATTCACACTATTCACTAATGTGTCTCTGGAAATGCGATGAGATTACGAAGATGTGTGTGTGTGTGTGCTTGTGGGGCACCTTCGATCGTGCGTGTTATTTAATTTCTGGCTTTCTAGGGATCGTTGATTGACTCGCACTATCAGGACCAGTGCGTCCAGATGGCTCAGGCCTACCAGGATGTTGTCATGGGTTTTGTGACGAGCAGCCCCATCGACGTGATCGCACACAAGCTAAACGTGGAAGGCACCCCCAACGTCTATTACAAAACTCCCGCCCAGCACAACCACGTCGGAATCGCCAATGGCAGCAACGATGCGGACAAGACTGTTGCCGACATCATGAAGACGTTCGGCGCCTGCCCTGAAGGTGTCATCCGCACAGTCAACCTCTCATCGCTGGATGGAAATGTGAATTCACTCCCCACCATGGCCATTTAGGTGTGACCTCAATGTCGTCGTACTTCGGCGTGTAACATCAGTCCAATTATTGTCCTACCACGTTCGGCGAATGATTTGTAACATTTCTTACATTTTATCTAGCTTTGCATTGTGTTTGCCTGAACATCATGGTGCACATGAATAAAAACTGCTTTCTACACGAATTACTGTCTTGGTCGGCCTAAGATAAACGCAGTCTGTGGCTCGAAGTTTGTCCAGCAGGGCAGCATGTAATTCTATTGCTCACATCGTGTTACGGTAGATGCGGTTTTGTGTGTGGATCAGCCAACCTGTGAATTAATATCTGCCAACAGCACCAGCTGCCATCTCTAAGTCCTTGTTTTGTCATACAACTGAAACAACTTGTTCATGCCTTTGGTGAGCGGCACGCACACTAGTGGTTAATGGATCATCATGGTTCCATCCGAGGATGGAAGGAAGGACGACTCTACCCTTTACCTTTCAAAACCAGTAAATCCGGTCACATACACTTTTGTGCGAAAACATCCTAAACCATCGGAATGCAAATCACGGATCAGTGCTACCCTACCGATCATATTACATACGGATTTTCCTGCAACGATATTTGACAATTCATTATTTAATCAGCAGAAAAAGTACAGGGAACGTACACGGGCCCAACCACTTTACTGAATTCACCCCAGTAGTAGCATTCATCACTTTGACTTCAGACAAATCTACCATCCACACCGAAGGCGCATAACAAGGAACTCATTCAATCTTGTCCACAGCTAGGTTTATTTGATTACCCCAATCGAAAATACGTTAGACGACCACGTTACGATTGTGGTGGGCAGCAAGCGAACACAGCAATCGTAAGCTGACATATTTCAATTGCGTGACAGCACTTCACACAGCCATGTTTTCTTCAGTGATCGACGTATAGCAAGGCCATATGAACTAACGTGTTGCTTCGTACATACATTCAACTACTGCATCAGTAAGCTATTTGAGCTGCATCTCTTCTTCGTCCCGGTGTGGGGTTGGTGCAGTTTTGGCGAACAACGCGATGCGGAAATACTCCGACTGACGGAAAACAAATAGATGGGAATATGTCATGAATCTCAGATAATTCTTGAAGGTAACGGGATTTAAAAGACTAAAACTATGATTCCTAATAATTTTTAAGCGTTTTTTTACAAATGTTAAAAGGTACGGCAACATAACTAGGCATAAAGTCACTGTGGACTTTTAGATACAAATTTGATAGACGAAAGGAAAAAGAGCAATAATGCTTTAAAACACCAGCCAAATACTATTTTAGAAAATAAATGTTCAAAGCCAAAATGCTAAAAATTAAATCATCAATTGTTACACAAAAGGGGTACAGTAAACAAGGTGAATAACAGGTAAATATAACCCCAGCGTTGAAAATTATGAAGAAGGCCGTACAAGGTGGCAGAAACGCCACGTCCGACCTACATGTACATTTAAAAGAATTTGTTCTTCGTAATGACGGCACCAAATCCGACAAGAGCGACAGCAAGCAAGGCGACAGTCTCAGAGTGAACTACTGGACTGAACCAAATACCCTAGGCAAAGTCAAATGAGAGCAAATTCAGCCTACGGGGTGATACACGTCTACCGTGAAAACGGGTTTAACTTGATCCAGTGGCATATTTTGGCTTTGTGCCTTGCGTAAATTTAAGTAACCAACATCGTCGTAGAAGCGGATAGAGTAGTAGCCTTTTGGCAGTTTCTTGTGATCATCAGCAAAAGTCACTTGAAACTCATCCGTCTCTAGACTTCGGCTGACAGGCACAATTGTGTCTCGAAATACAGCATAAAGCTCGCTTAACTTAAAATATGTCAGTAGATAAATTAGAACATACTTCGTCATTTTCACAAGTGGCACGTCCTTCAACAATTATAACAGTCTTCGATGATAGAAGAGACTCAGTTGATGTATATTGTCTGGTTTGTACTGTTGGATTCTCACACCCGAGAACTATAAACGAAAATTAGGACAAGCTCCTGTTACCTAAACCAGCCCCAAACAAAAATGCAAACAACAGAGTAAAGGACATCATCGACACCTGCCACACACGCAACGTGTTGACCTTACTTATTTAATGCATATAAATAATGTGGACCTTGTGATAATTTTCTGTAACAAACAGCAATCATAACACAATATCGAAACTAAGGAAATTACCGGCTAATTTAAATCTAAAAAGAAACTTTTTCAAAAATTATTCCACCCTAATGTAAATTTGAAAGTATGATCGAAATATTCCTTAGTATATCCGTTCTGCGGCTCGTACCTGCTAGCGACCGTCATTGAATTTATACTAAGTACCATGCTTAATTGACCGCTTACTGAGTTCCTTTAAAAATGTTTGATTGAGCTTTAAGCCAGGCAAACATCCTCATTTGATGAGCTATTTTGAAAAGCGATACAACTGTTTCAGCGCAAAGTACAGATGCATGGATTTTTGTATTTCTTTTTTAGTGAGGCAGTTATATGTCTCATGTCAACTACATGCTTTTGTCATAGAATGATGCTTGTCTAAAGTTCTTAAGTGTTTTTGGTCCAATTTTTAATGGAGATCATCTGTGTTGTACAATGATAAAAAATGTTCAAGTTTTACTCTAAATACATTGCCTGTTGAACTTGCGCTTGCATTAGTTACTATTAATAAAAAGGCATTCAAATTTGCTCTTTTTATAGAAAAAATTTGTGCATTACTCCAAGCCTTTATTTTGTTCTTATAACAGTACTTCACGGATTAAATCTTCCAGAGATTCACAACCTCCCCGCTGTAAATCTTTCGGATTCATCACAGTAAGCTAACGCACACACGTGACCGATTCATATGATTACCCGTCCCAAGTTATTCTACACGTTAATTCTCATTGTTTAACCATACTATATATGCAAGTATATGTAAATCCCAACGATAATGCAGATGCGACTTGCACTTCGTGTATGTAGACGAGTAAACCACTGCTGATAGAAGAGCAGTCTGATCATCGCACAAAATTTTGAGACTATGCCCACTTTGGTCATAATATTCTCTCTTGTTGGCACATTATGTTGAACAGAGTTGCACAAATCACAATCGCAAAATTGTAAATCAGAATCTAAATAGAATTGTTTACTAAGTGATGAGATAGAATGCTTAAAACTATTACATATTCAGCATGAATTTGCCACCATAAATAAACCCTACATGTCAAACAAAATAAACATAACTTTAACACAAACTTATTCTTGCAGAATGGTTGGCGAGAATGTTACTTTGACGAAACTTGCATAATGCTATATGAAATCGTTTATGCGAAATACGGACAGAAGATCGCAGATTCTAGTAAGTTTAAAATACTCATGCATGTTCTAAAGTGAGGAGTTGTCAAGTTCTTAAATTTGGGGAAATTGGTTTCATGGAATCCACGAGAGGCAATTACCAGTGATAATAATATTACATTTTTTCTTCATGCGCTGCCAGAGAATCAACATTTAAATCACTTGCCATCGAGGTAGGATCCTTCTAATCTACATCCTATCCAGCTTTCGCTGAATACGAGATGTGCTGTGACAGTAAACGCTCGTGACGATGAAATTTTCTGGGTATCGGAAATAAGTCCAATGCATTATATTTACATATCCATTATCTGCATATCATTGTTGCTTATTAAAAACGCCAGATTAGTAAAGGATTATTACAAATCGAACAAATTTGTGAAAAAGTAAATTTCATTATTTGAAAGTGGCTAATGTGACCAATACCTCGTAAATGAGATAAAAAGCAAGGAGGAACAATTAAATGACTCGAATTTCAGCAATGACAAGCTTTTTTAAAATCTTGGCACTTAAGGGTGGACGAGTGAATTCCCAAAACGAGGAAAAGAATTGGCCTGAGCTCCTGATCTGCATAGAAACTTAGAAAAAGTTATTCTGATTTTTTTACTGTCACTTAATCGATTTTAGCCTTTAAACGTAAACAATAGTAAGGATACCCGTCATTCTTCCACGAGAACTTTTGACCGCAATGCAGTCACAATTGATGTCATTTGAAAACTTGGTCAAAAGTAGTAATAAGAAAACTACACCCAAGTCATGAAAGTCGTCAGAATTTGAAGAGCTTCGACTTGAATAATCGGCTTCGGAATTATATTATAATCTAAAGTGACTAGTGAGAACACTACCATGAAGAACAAATTATGTCCCCCACGCTATAGTTAAACATTTTTAAGTCGTAGTAGCCTGTACGATAGCTTGAGTAAAAATACCAAAATGGAAAAAAGTGGATTAAACATTTTTAACACAACTTTTTACTATGATAATTTATATTTGTAACATGAATAAAATTAGTGTGACAAATATAGTCATAGCAATGCCAAAAACCAAGACAATAACAAAACAACATAAATTCTGTTTGAAATAAAAAAAACACTGAATTAACCACCAGCACTGGGCTGGAGAAAAAAATAATATCCTTATGTTTTGATGGAATCATAATTGAAGTTTGGATAAAAGGCCATTTTTTTCAAGGTCACCATTTGGAAGGCCACGTGCCCTCAAAATTCGCCGACGAAGGTGATTGGCTGCGTAGGAATTTGAACGTGGCCGCCTCCAGTCGCAGCACCCTTGGCGTCCACAGCGCCCCACCAGGAGACCAAATAGGCACGATGTCAAGCCCAATCCGACAGCTAGGATGATTGCAGCCGTGTGCCATTGATAGCTACTTTGTGAGACCGATTTAGCGGCTGGTTTTGTGGAAGGCCTTGCTAAATGAACACAAAAGTTCGAAAAAACTACGACTTATTGCTTAATTCTATTGAAATTTGAATTTGAAACCTCTGAACTGTTTAGAAAAGATCGAACATGTGTCGCGATTAAACCTAATTGTAATACTCTTATCCGAGTTTAATCTCCGAAATTTATTAAGACGGGTTGGTAGAAACAGTGCAATGAACTTATTATTATTTAATCGACTTAAACGTGTCCGTGCATAGAAGACATAATTTTTACTTAAGTCAATTTTCGCCTTTTACAGGGGTATTTCATTTAACGACTATAATCTGAACAAGATTTCAGAAGCTTTCATTGACTGTTTAAATGATGACCTGAGTGATTCTTTTTCCCCCTCAAATTACTAATTAACCTAGGCAGATTTACAAACACGAGCATCATCATGCACATTTCTTTAATAATTTCGGTTTGTTCACTTCGGATTTAATATATTGAGAAAAAACGGCCGAAAAATAGCTCAGAAATAACTATGAACAAAGCGAGTACTAGACAAGACCCATCTCCATCCACGTTGTTTTTGCAACAAATGCGGTTAAATTGCACTCACCCATTTCCTCCTTCTCTGAATTAAAGTGCTTTTCGACTTCTTGGTGTCTGGTTTTTGCTTTCGGGTCTACGAAGTAAGTAGGAAACACAACATGAAATCACGTAGACATAATTAAATCTAAAACAACCCTCTTATTTGTTTATTTATTCATTTATCCCCTCATGTGGCAGAAAATAGAGCACTCCAAAGATATGACTAAATCTTAAAAATAAACTACTACGTTGACATTGCAAGTAACAAATTTAAATGAAGAGAATAAACAGAGGTTATTGACAGAAATAATGGTCCAAGTTAATAATAATAATAAAGCAGAATCATTTTTAGAGGTAGTTAATCCATTAAAACATTAAATTACCTAAGTCTGATTACTTACAAAGAATTCAAGGCAAAGAAATATTCAATTATGCTCATTAGAATGTAAAATGTTGCTGCAAATGACAGCCGTGAAGCAACGTGAACACAAATAATATTCAAAACAGACACAAACCAAGAACGAACGCATGCCCCATGAATGACTAGTACGGTAGTGCCGCAGTTCCATGGTCTTCAGGACAATAACATACACAGATTAAGGATGGCATTTAGTCTCAAATAGGTTAAGCCACTTCTCGCAAAAGCATTAGATCTGACATCTAATTAGATCAAGAAACTTAGCATTACATACTGGCTTGAATACATCGACTGACTCTAACAAAGAATTCGGCCAAATTCTACGCATCTGAATAACTCGGATTAGACCGTTGTAGTCTCCTGGGTTATTCAATACGATACTGGAATGACCATTAAATAGGTGAATTGATTTCAGTGATAGGAACATTCTTTGACGCTGCGTCCGTTTAAATTTGACGATGATGATAGCAATGTCTTTAAGTGGTCACAACAATAAAAGCTATTTTTAATACAATTTTTTTATTGTGTTCATGTCTACTTAAGCTGTTGCATTCAAGCTCCTTCGTTTGTCACAACTCATCGATGTAAAATTGCGCCACTGGTGACTAGACGGGAGTTCAGCACAGCTATTGTGGCAGCACGCGAAATCGTGATTCGAGAAGTGATCAGGCATCCAAATCAGTACAGCAGATCGTGTACATCGGCCAGAATGCACCACGTTTTTCATAAGTCTTATTACCATTAAAAAAGCCATTATGCACGTTGGGAGACTGAGGCTTTTGGTTAATTCACGTTGCATTCCCAGGATGAGTTTCATCGCCCCACAGTAAGCCCGGTTTTAGCACAAATCTACTAGCATTTTGCAGGAATCGGAGCTCGAGTTGTTGCACTAGAATAATTTAATTTAAACTCAAAGTGGAAGAATGTGAAGGTTCACATAACAACAATGTTTGAAGAAGATGATGAATCCCACTCCCCAGCACATAACGGTTTCTGTTTCAAATGTTTGAATAGCATTATTCAACGAAAGCAGGTTTCAGAGGTGAGACTAGGTCTTACATTTGCATGGATGAATAATGCAGCAATAATACGATTGGGCATCGATAAAAAAAGTAACATACAAGACAGTTGGGGACAAATACCTGAAGCACAGTTGAGAAAGTGATACAACCATGCGGAAATCATGTTAATGTGAGTAATCAATGACTCAACCTCGACGTTCTACCTTTTTTGCGAAATACGGTTCTTGTTGTTGTGTGGCAAGTTAAGTTATCAAAAAAATGGACGCAAAAAACAGGCATATGGCAGATGCTGCAAAACGACGCAAGTAGCAAATTTATCGTACATAGGGTTTGAATAACCTTCAGGTTTACCAACGACATGGAGCCATGTTGTGAGCTCAAGCATCTCCGAAAGCAGAAATAACAAAAGACTGACACATTACTAAGGCGGACGATTGATGAGTTATTCGGTTTCTTTGACAAGGAGTACGATAAAAAATTTTCTCAAATATGGGATTTGCGTTACAAACAATTTCAAATTGAAATCTGTAAAGTAGTTTCACGCCACAAAACCAGTGTACCACTGCGTATTCAACAGTGTTTAACACCCAAACACGGAATTACTTTCTATAAGCCATACTCACTAGAATGTTTCCAAAGTGGTCGCTTCTTTGACCCAAGCATTAGTTGTCGGTCAGCTTTTGAAGCATGGATGTCTTCATCTTCAATCTGGTTGCGAATAGCGGCATAGCGCGAGTGTGGAATAAAGTCATTGATTACGCTTGGATAATTGTCTGGCACGGCTTCACTGTCGTGATACCGCAGGTCGTCAAGAAAATGGACTGGAGGGCCTTCGTGTAGTTGCAATGGAGGCCTTTCCAGAAAATCAATATATTCGTTATCGATGAACTTCAATCTTTGTTTGGGCTCACGCAAAGGCAAGTCTGGTAGATCAGATCCAAGGGGTGCCAAAAACGGACGAGCAAAGTAATCCCTTTTGTAATTGTACGGTCTTCTGGCGGGTAAATAGGCCCCTAAACGCATTGAGTTTAACGGATAATGTCTGGGGGAGCCGATTTCAAATTCAGAACCACCTAATTCCTCCTCAGGCTGCTTCAATATTCCATGATCCTTGAGTTTCCTTTGGCTGAAAGCTGCAGAATCTAGTTTGCGAGTTAAAGCCGCTCTAGATACTTCTGGAGGTGTTGCAGTTGTGGTAATTACTCGTGCTGAAGAGGCTGTCGACTTTCGCTTAAAAGATAAAGACAACAAACCTTTGCTGCAAGATACTTCGTCTGAGCTGTCACGACACTCGGCAATACCGTTACACACGTCATAAATAGCTATACAGGCTGAATCATCATCGCACTGAAATTGCAACTCCGGCCTTCTGCATAGTGAAGGAACTAAAAAATCAACAAGAATTGATATAAAAACCTACCACAGAGTCGCCTCTTTTCGATAAAACCGGTTTTGCATGCGCATTGGCCGGAGTCACATATAGTGTTTTCCCCAACACAGGGGTTCTGTGGTCCACACTGACCACGAAGTGTTCCTAGAAAAAATTCCAGACGGAGAATTCGAATTTACCTGGTGGCCGATCTTCAACACTATGCAAGGCGAATATGGTTGTTGGTGAAGCACGGCGCACAAACACGGCGTAATTCAATCCCGAAGTGAAATTACATACATTAGGTTCGAGACAATTGAAAAGATAGCAGGAACTATCACGCTGAAAACCAAAGTAAGCAGTATGATGAACCAAAATTCCAGATTAAGTAGCAAAGCTAACAGACGACTTACTGAAAAAGACTAAAAAATCTTTAATTTGCGAATTTTTTTACAAAAATTGAAATGACGCTCATTAATGCATTGGCAAATGCATAAACTTAAAAAAAGAAATTAAACTAACAAAAGGTTTACCTTATCTGACCTCCATTAAGATGGCAATACAAGACTTACTAAGTAGCAAATTAAAGTCAAGTGCGAAAAATCAATGTCAACGAAGGCGCAACAGCTATACTGCAGGTAAAACCCATTGTTTATCATTTGGAAATTTAGTGATGAGCATGACAAAGTAGAATGCAATCAGCACAACTTTATCTCCATAATTGTGTTTTTGTACACTAACACAATTGACTAAGTGGCAAAAATAACGGTTTAATTTGTGAATGAGTTTGATCCGAGTCATTTGGATGAACGAAAATAAAGACTACAGTAGTATTTACATGAAGTAAAAACCATTAAACTCGTCTAACATAAAAACATTAACTAAAATCAGAAGAATGTAAATAGGGAATGTATGCAAAATTTCATGTTAAGTAACCATTGAAACAGAAAGACATTTTTGCTATTCAAATGACAGGAAAAAACAGTTAGTGCTGGCACAAAGTTAAATAAAACATTGTTATAAACAAGTAAATATAAATTATTTTGACATTTGCTTTAGTGGAATTGAAACAAAGAGCCTTCGTCTTTGAGTCCTGAATTCCACTTTAGGCTAAGCACCTTTTGAGCAGAGGTAAAATTTCTTAAATACGTTTTTCTCATAGAAGAACAAATGGGTGAAACAAGGTAATTGTGGGCAAAAAAAAACAGAAAAAAACGAAGGGTACCTTAGATCCAAATACACCAGCAGTGCAAGCCGGAGTGTTGCAACAATAGTCTAAGCACTGTTCCAGAGACTCAGCCGGTATTTTCTGAATAAATTTTGCTCCATTTCTTTCAGAGACATGGGTTAGAATTATACTGTTTAAATGTACGTCGAATTCTCTGTCACATTTTTCGGAAACAGTTATCCCAGAAAGTAAACACACACAAGGTAGTAGATATATCATAAAATGCATTTTCTGGCCTTCATAAAAACAATCCTTAGATGGTCACAAGTTCTACGGACACAAAATCACACAAAACCCTAAAATGCGCGTTTAATGGACGCTTTGTATAATTGGGTGGCCGAGATTTCAAGGTCGCTAAACCATTAAAAAAGCAAATGTTTTTTGCTAAAGCATTAGTAAATTTTTACTATTGCCGAAAAAATTCTGTTTTGTATTTTACAATAATAGAGTCCGTGCTGCTGGAATGTACATATGTGGATGGCCTTGAGTGTGATAAAACGCGCAATTTTTGACGACCTTTCCGCGAAAGAATTTTTCTATTACCGAGTGAGTTGTGCAACATAGATCCATTTAACGTGCATATATTGGCTTTTTGCACTGGGATTTAATTGTTTAGTTCTCAGCCTTATTGAAATTTTCGCAAATTGTTGTATATCGCTTTTTTAGCGCAAAAGTACCGTTTTAAATCCCAATAGTTTTTACAAATGAATAAATCCACTGGATTAACATTTATATTCATTTAAGAGAAATTCGGCACTTTCTTTTAGGATGTATGGTATTTAGGTATTCATCTTTTTATTTCCAAGATGTCACATTGAGAGTTTATCTATTAAAGTTAAATCCTCCAAAATCCTTGATAAAATTCTGTGTTTATGGCAACAAACGTTACTTTTACATTTATGTAGAAGCAGTTATAGTAAAATTTGTAAAAATTACACAGTTGTTATTTATGCAAATCATTGTTAAATGTCAATACTTGTGAACCGTTTCTCTTTTATAGTTTACCGCGATTATTTGGTTTGTGACTTGCACGTTTGACGTGGTTCTATCATTTAGGCCTTGTTTGAAATGCTTACAAGTTCAAGTAGGATAATTTAGACACTAAATATTTATCGTAACGTAACGTTTTCAAGTTCTCAATCTTAAACCTTGGTTCCTCAATCATGGCTTGGCTCTAATCGTCTTTGACTGAACCTTTGTTCCTTTTAACTAATTGCTGGACTCTCGGTGGCTAATTTTTAAAACATGAAACATATAATCCACAGGTAAATGACTTGTTGAAAGAAACCCCTACCCCACTGTAATGTGAATTATCTCATCATGATACATCGATAATTTGAGTTTGAATAATTACACGCCCCCATTATAGTCGGCAATTAGATAACACCTAAGAGCCTTTTGCATTGAGACAACATTCCTACATCATCTGTTATTTGCACTTCTTCAGTTATTCAAGCGTACGTTTTTGTTGAACTCTTAGAATTGCACGGTTTTGTAACGCGAATCTAGTTCTACAATTCTTCCACAAATCTTTGTATGAATTTACATCTGGTTTACCCGATTAAATTATATTTCAAGTCGCGTGAAGTCATAGTTGTCAATTTTTATTCTGTTTTTGGATAGTTTGTCTTTCTTTCGGCTTTAGGAGATTGATCGTGTGATTGACCAATTATTTTTTAAACCACCACCTTATGCACCCAGACGTCTTTTAGTTCATAAATTCTTACTTCGGATATTAACATAGGGGAAATTAAAAAAAAATAAATTCTTGCCTTTAGAATAAAAAAGTCAATGACTTAGATAAAATTACCTTCAACTTTCTAAAAGCTAGCTTTAAGCGCCCTAAAACGGACAGTAAAATTGATTTTCTTGTCATGTTTCGGTCAAATATGTCACATATTGTGCTTACTTAGTCTATTCTCACTTGATTATCATACTCGCTTCGTAATGGCCTAACGGTGTCGGTTGTGGGTGCATTTGCGCAAAATTCTTCTTTTTTGATAAATTGCTCGCATATCTTATTGCTGAGTCATCTGGAATGCATCCAAGTCATTTTAGTACCTGCAGCATTTATGTCCTTCCTTAGAACGGCACAGCTTGCTTAGACTCTAAAATCATTTTCTCTTACACTGGATAGGTAGCAGTCGGCTTTGGTGTTACCGTTGTATGTTTTCACAGAACGACCAAGCTTTGCTTCAATAAATTACGCGCACTTTCTTGGCTTCGGGGGAGCAGCTGTTCAGTTGTAAGGCTCAATGCAAGGGTGACTTAGTCAGCGGGCTGACGTACTAAACGCTTGACCAAAACGCTGCACGTATGCTTCATTAAAGTGAATGTAGTCTAGCTCGGGTTTGAACATTTCGACGGAATAATTTAGCCACTTCGTCTCCACTGTGGGGTGCATCTTGGATGGTAAGTTGCACTCTTGCAAACAAATATTTATAAAATTTAGTTGTGGAATATAAGTAGACAGCAAATGCATGGAAGTTGCAGAATGCTTTGAATATAGTTAACCTAATGAGCTTGCACACAATTCGATCCTCAGCCTATCGGACTTGTCGTTTTTCTTCTCTTGGTGATGCAGTTGATGACTCATAATTGCTACATCATCCTCGTATTTAACAAATTTCAGTTGGTCGTTTTTTTTAGACATTAAGCATTCATGTGCGTTTAATTGCCCCATTGAACCTACAAAGTGCTTCTATTATCGAAACAGACCAGATACAGAAGTTATAGCCACCTGAAAACCTGCTATTACATTGGCAAATCACGGTTCTTTTTTATTCCATCCAAAAACTCTTTCCTTGTTTGCCTCGGTTCAGAACCACACGAACATGATACCTCCACGTCATCAAGGCGCTTTTACTATAATCAGGTCACTGCAAACGCTCAGCGTACGACCTGCACCCATTCAATTCGGCCTACATTTCTCTGTTTCAAGCAGCAGTTAGGGCAAGTGTTACGTGTCGGCGTGTGGCAGTGACTAACGCCTATTTAGTGCAGACCAATGAGAGGAGCGAGGGTCATTTGACCTTGAAGCTACTATATTTAGGCGGTAATGCGTGATTGAAAAATAGGCACAAGCGAAGCTGTGCGTGCGTCCGATGGCCTGGTTCGACTCTCAACTTTCTTACTCTGAGATGTTGAACGTTTTGGGGCCTCTGTGATGATCACTTTAATTAGAGAAACCCTCATTTGTATCAATTTACAACCTTATTGTCAGGACCAAGCCTTCCTGCATCAAGTCCAAAGAAAATCAAGTGATCGGGGTTTTAATAATGTTTGGTTTCTGCACTAAACCCCATCACCTCAAATATTTTATTCTGAGGAGTGATTGATACCTAATTAGTTGACAACGTGACTTCTGCTCATTATATGTTAAGAATACATATCGCAATACACAGATTTCTAAATCCTGCGCCCTCTACTCATTCATTCTCCCAGCTAACCAAATCCTTTCTCCGATCTTGAATCCAGACACCCGCATTGTGTTTACTTAGTTTATCTTTATCAACCTTTTAGTCGGCGATGCTATGAGGTTCGGTGAAACTGTAAACTTGAAGTCTTTTTCTATTGGTTTAAGTTATGCTGAATTTGAGCGCAAACCAATTCTATTCGCGGCATGCGCATCATATCTAATTGAATCTTAGTTATCTTAAGTCCCATATAAGCTTTCAGTAAAAAACGGTAGCTCGGGCGTCCAATCCAGCCTTTATCCGTACTTTTATAGACATCGATTATGCGTCCGGTAAAGGCACACGTACGAAGCCTTCCCTCATAGTTCATTTTGCGGCTGAGGCCTTGAAACCTCGGCGTGGTAAACTTTTACTCTTTTTAACCCCGTTTCCTTGCACTCTGATTGGCTAGTTAGTGACCAATAGAATATGAGGCAATCAATGGTTAGCTTTGGAGCATTGTGTTTTCATTTCTTGCAATGGCGTTGTTATAGAAAAAAAACTATTAAAATTTTATCTCAAAAATGGGCATATTTTATAAATTTAGAATATCCTCTGTATCTATCCGTTATTCAGCGTCACATTCTCATCAATCAGCTTATGTGGCAAATCCTAATTTCCAACCTACGATGTACCACTATGTGGACCTGGGTTTTGTAAGCTCTTTCCTACTTCGGTAGTGCAGATTTGACGGACACCTAATCGAAGTTGCCTTTCTTAAACCGAACAATGTGCATAAACAATGGTCAAGTCACACGCGCTGGTGACGAAGACGTTTGCCGAATCTGAGTCTTTGTAATTGGCCCGGTACGAAGAATTTGTGCGCCACCGGCTAGGCTAAAAAGGCTTCACTCTTGAATTAACGATAACCCCCAGAACCACGCGTGTTCGCCTGATATAATCGAGCGTCTCTTCTCGCTCGCTTGTTATAAACCTTAAGAATTATTCATTAAACACCTGTAAAGCAAGTACCACGTGTGACTATGTAGGAGTAAAAACCTACCTGTCAACTACTACAAGTACATGAGTTCTAATCTTATGCTGACCTCATCCAAAAAGCGTCTGTATGTTTGGTAGATTTAGTCAATAAATGCACTTCCAGTTTGATTACTTATGAAATGCACTATTGTGAACGTGTGCGTATAATTATTAGTTTGAAAGAACCGTACAAGTGACTCAAATATTATCGTGTGTATCACCTAGCAGATTGGAGACAATGGTTGCAGAGACCTTGGGCTAAGCAGAGTATTAATAAAAGCAATAAAGCGAACGATTGCACATTAAATCGTGTTAGCTCATGCTTATGGTACACTTATTTTCACTGACCTAATGTTTACCTGCTAGTTTAGTTACTGTTGTGTTAAGTAGGTCGCGTTGACGGTTCTCACTTGAACACCCACAAAAATTACGTCAATTTGGCCGTCAAGTCTTTCGAATAATGTGGAAGATGCTGAAGTGACGTCGGCGTGTGTCCAACCTTGCAATTTTAGGCACAACCAGAGCCTTATTCTCTTTCCTTGTTGTGTTTTTTTTCAAATGTGTCAAGTAAATTAGACGTCAATCGCGATATCGACTGATTGAGAGCAAAGGAGACGCGATCAGCACCTTTGGCCATATCTGTGGAAAAAAGCTAGTCAGCATAGCATAGCTTCGGCTCTTCGTGTTTGGGTTAATTGCGTTTGGCACGTTCTGGACATTAGCTCACATTTTGTGGTTTTATGCAGATAAGGAACCTTAAATTAACTTAGACTCTATCAGCCAAAGGAAGCTGTGGTTATTAACCTTAATCACACAAGAACCCTAGGCTAATATCTGGCCAATAGCAAGACGCTAGACAGCGTTTGCTAGTGATTGACAGAGTCGTGGTCTTTACAAATCTCCGGAGGCCAAGTTGATTGGCTTCTTTTTAATGACCAATGTTGTGATATGTTCAGCTTCAGGTAAACGATACCTTGTCTACCTCCACCTGGACAAGAACCTACGTCGAGTAAATTGCGAAGAGAGAAGCCTTTTTGACGTTTACTTTCTTCAGGAAGTAGTCTGTGGTTCTGACAATTTGAACCATCTGATCCTGGGGTGACAGTGTCTGATGATATTTCCATCGTAGCCCATCTTTGCCATCTGCCGATATATGGAACACGTTCGAGAGGACTGATGTGGAGGTCAGCCTTAGGAGAGAAGAGTTAGACTGTCAAATACAGAATTTTGAATGATCCATAGACAATAATTCATAATCACCCAAGAAGCCGCAACAGATGACGCGCTCACAAGGAGTGCCTGTTACGGGTGTGATGCCGCATTGAGAAAGTGGGGTACCACGGGTGTGTTCTGTCACGGGAAATAAATTTAAACATTGCTTTAGATTTTCTCAGGCAAAATGGTGTCCAGCTTGCATCTCGCATGATTGCCAGAAGAATTCGCCGCAATGTAGTTACTAAATGTTTGCCAAACTAATTCGCGCCAACAAAAATTCTGGCAATGGGGAACGATGCGCTCAAAGGCCTACTCCATAATTTCCAGGCTGATATCTGAATTGACTGCACTGGTACATTTTTGGTGCTCCATTCTAGATGGATTTGTTTATTCTTATGTCCAGGATCAAATACTGGGTGCGTGTGTTTTGAAATGTCAGGACAGGGAACGAAATTTTCTCTAGTTTTACCATAAACCAACAACTTCCACATTTGATTCGCCTTTTCTCTAGTTGATGTATTTTATTGAGGAATTTGGCTGAAATGGTTATTTGGGCTTTAGAATTGAGAATTTTTCATTTCTTCTCTTTTCCCAATTTTGAGGTTATGACGCTCATCAGTGACTGTTTGTTTGGCCTCTACGTAACTGTGCGCTTTGACATGTCCCCAGACGGGGTGTAACCACCATGTTGCTCTCACAATTTGGTGACCTGACCTAGGCAACTGTCTCTGACCTCTCAATTTGTTTACTAAGTCCAAACAAGTGTCACAAATTATGGCTGCTGTGCCCAGATTCAGTTATACTTCCCTCCTCACTGTCCCACAATGCCAAGTTCCAAACATTGGAGCAAAATGTGTATGCCTGCCTGATGTTATCACGGATTCCCTTTGTCTCGAATATCTGATTTGTTAAAAAGTTCTGCTAGATGGACATTCCTCTGTACCTCTTCGATTAGTTTATTACTTGTGGTCAGTGTGGTTACTTCTGCGACCGCAAAAAACATGCGAAAATCGGGCTGCATTCATACGTCACCATCGATCGTACGCATGAACAAGCTTAAACATTGCTTGGTGCGTAGGAGAGGCTAACAGTTGCAATCAAGTATTTTCTACTCCCTGCCGTTGCAATAATGCTCGATATCAGGTATCCCTACTACACTCTAAAGCAAAATTTCACGATTGTAACTACGCGCTTAGACATGTCATCGAAGAGGGTGTAATCATCATGTTACCCTCGCTTCTTGGTGGCCTGACCTACGCTACTGCCGCCGACCTCTTAGTTTGTTTACCAAATCTAAACGGGTGCCACAATATGTAGCAGTAGTGTCCAAATCTAGTTTTACTGCTCTCGCATTTGGGAAAAAATAGTTATATCTGCCGGATGTTATTACGGACTCCCTTTGTTCCGACAATTTGCCAGCAAGTTCTTCTGGGTTAACATTCTTCTGGATCTTGTCGACTAGTTTATTACATTAAGGTTTAACTCGAAGGAGACGGGTCTGATTCCTCTCAAGTAGACGCACGGTAGCACTTCGTTACTCGTGGTCTGTGTAGTCTAGCAAAACTTGTGCTGCATTCACACGTCGTTATCGATGATTTGAACGCATGTCATTGTGCATGTCAAACTTCTTACAGAGGTGTTCCATACACAACGCCTAGAATTTTTGGTTTGGACTAATTTATACACATTTTTGTGTTTTAATTTGTTAAACAGATACATTAAGTCGGTGATGGAACCGTTTTATCTTGCCGGAGCCGCAGACAGACATGCGCGCGTCACCAGCCGTCGCGCCTACCTTGATTTCCCCGTCCGACGTTCGATGTCCGTCGACACTCCGACGCGCACGTCCACCCATCACCATGACAACCACAGCCTCGGTGGGGACAGCTACAGCGACGAAGACGATGAGCGATATCTCAGTCCCTTGCCTTGTCAAGAGGGCTGTCGCGCTCTCTACTCGAAGCTCATGTCTCCCATGATCAGCTCCGTCGCGATCGATAGATCGGTTTCTCTTACTCGGGAGGGTGAAGGTGCCAGCAACCAGGCTGAAGCAGACGAAGATCACCTTAAAACCGGAAATCATAGTCTACCTGGCACTGATGCAGTGAAAAAAGCGCAAGTTGATCCAAAGCAGGCTGCTTACGCTGCACGGAAAAGTGTTAGAGGTGAGCTCGTGACAGATTCCCAAGCAAGATTCCACAATCACGAATTAAAAACCTTTTTTTTTCTCGTTTTCTTTGCACTTTGGAGGTGGGATTGCTCTAGGATTTCGCTCTCACAAAGACAGCTCGTTCATGGTGTTAATTTTTACTGTTCCGGATTTAATTTGCTATTTTTCTGGTGGCGAAGAATGTAGACATAAATTTCCTTACTGATCGTGGACATACCTGCCCCTTTTTCACACAGTTGGTGCCAGTTTTCGTGGGAAATACAGACTATGTTGTCTTTCAAAAGTCTTGCATCGGCAAACGCCACAACCTCTTGTAGGAAATAGTGTCTGCCTGAATCCCAGTTGGAGTTACGGACATCATTCGGTGTAGCATTTAAGAGTTTTTGCGTTTGATTGATGTGGTAGAAGTTTTTTCTCAGTTTTTGTATCTCTTAGTAAAACGTAGGGCTTTGGCACATGTGTCGCTTATGTATAACAATGCCATCACCACCTTATGCGTTTTTATTTCTTCACCCTGCTCCCCGTTGTTTAATTGCTTACCACTAAACTGCCCAGTAACTAATCCGGATTCTAGCATTCGTCTTTGATTGTGGTGAAGTTGTGAGACGCATTATCGGGAAGGTTGTTTGACAATAAACTGGATTACAAGTCCGTTATCTTGTGCCAAATATCCGACCATCTGCCCAAACGATGCAACATGCATATGAAGAATTTAGGCAGCATTTCTCCGTTTATTTCACAAAGCTTCGATGTCTCCCATGGAATTTTATGCATATTTATAGTGGACAAATTCTTGCCATGCCTTCTAGGGCCACCTAACATTTAAAGTTGATCACCATAGGAACCGACGAGTGGTCGCTAGTGCGGGGTAACAAGATGACCAACTGTAAGGCGTTCTTTATGCAGCACTTGGCTTACAGTAACTTGGGTTTCTTCGTTTGAATGAACACACTACAGCCAAGTATGCCAAAGCCGACAAAAGCATTTCGGACCGTTACATGTGCACAATTTCGTGAGCGACAGTTTCGGTCAATTTCCCAATTGCTTTGATCTCGAATCGGATTTACCAGTATTGATAAAGTGAAATGCATTGTAATTCTAATAACATTGATCATTAAAGTGTGCGAGAATAGTCTTAATGAGATCACTTTCTAGGGTATAAATCTGGATCACGTGGGAACTTCTGAAATTTTTAGATGGCGCCAGAGAAGCGAAGCGAGATTATGATCAAAATTTAGTGCATTACGCGCAAACACCTATTTGCACTGTTGCACCACGTAGGTAGGAGGTGTGGGAGAACGCAAAACACCGACCTAAGACACCGAGAACCCAGAAAATAAGTCATTCGGCGCAAATAGTCTTAAATGACGTCAAAAAACACTCCCTGAAGTTTCTTCACGCAATATTAGTATCATCTTTACATTTAAACGCCGTGGTAAATCGCACGCATGTTGCACAATATGCAGTCAGTTCATGAAGTTCGACGAGTAGTGCTATTTATAGAGGCATAAAGGTAGATTCGTATTTAGTTATGCAAATAACACCTTTTTGCAAGCTCAATTATCCTTGTGGTACACCACTTACTCTGTGATCGGAATTCAAGTGACCGCCCACACAGTGCGGGAAGGGCTAACCAACTAACTAGTTAGCCTCAGGAAAAGACCACAGTCCAATACCAAGCCCAACATTCCATGCTTTGATGGTATCTGCTCCGTATCGTTGGTAGTTCAAGCGGATGCAGAGCAACGTTGTTCAGATGGACTACAGGAGCCTTTCTCACTTCACGACGGTACAGGATGCTATTTCGTAGAATACACTTTGCAAGAACTGAGCCAGTGCTCTGAGATTGCATAGCTATTTGCGCACACCTTGCAAATCGCGAACTCACTGACGCGTATTACTGTATGTAGAACACAGCAAACAAAATGAGGAACTTTGTTATGCCGAAAAGTTGAAAGGAATTTTGGTGATTTTTACTAGAATCCGAAGAAGTTCTCGTCAGAGTTAAATTCTGACACAATTACCACTCTACACGAGTCGCTTCATGCAAACAAAGGTATGAAACGCAAGCTGTGTTTTGATGAAACATCAACACAAGGGAAAATGTTCGCTTTAACTTTGTCGAGTGGGGTTGTTATGATCGAACACAATTCTGTTTCTCCCGGTTGATTTTGACACTTCCACGGCTACGGCATTCTTCAATTTGTCAGCAGTACTTGGCGAAGTCTGATGATCTGATGTCTTTCACAGCCATCATCTTCGAGCTGAACTCGATTTAGCCACAATCATTTTTCGAGTAGTGTTGCAGAAACAATCTTGTTGTTGCAGTTTGAGTCGACCAATCGCTTGCAGGAGCTGAGCTCACTGAATTCTTTTTACCAACCACATGCGGGCACTCAAGCCTCGGGTTGTTGCGCCAGTGTTGGATTTCGCAGAGGCATCGAAGGTATTGTCGTTCCGGTGTCATGCGTGCCACCTGAGTCACGTGATGTCATAAGATGACCGCCTTCTTCGCTTTGATTCCACACACTTCCGTTGAAGCAGTTTGGCCAGGGCAAAGTTTGGCATCGCCATCAAATTTTCCTTTTTCTGTTTCTGGCGCATAAATGCGCAGATCCAATTTTTGTAATTTGAATCACCAGTCTTGATTGCAGAAAAAAACTTGATCCATTCGTAGTCAAAACAAGTCGTGATTACCGGCAAATCGAAATTCCCGTTATTGGTACTTTGGGTGCGCATGGGTGCTTTGGAAGGACAATGTATTTAACCTTGACACACGTAAAAGCCCTGAAAAATTATTGACCTCATTGACTTTAGTCAAATTTATACCACTCAGCAGGTATTAAAGTAACAGCTATCAAATTCCGTTGATATATTCATTTTAAACAATCTTATTGACAGATTCAAATTGGCGCTCTCATCTTCATTGGCTAGTTTGTTTCGATATTTCATTCCGAACCCAAATCACACAGTTGCTCGATTCGCCTTTCGTTTCTGAAGCGAAAGCATAAATTCCCCTCTAACATTTTTATTTCCCTCGACGCCACCTTCTTCACAAACTGCCACTTTTGTGGTGCATTTTCTTTTTTGGCGTGCATAATTGACTGAACTTGAAAAAATTACAGAGTAATGGGTTAATTTTTGATCTAAACAGCCATTTTCCGGCTGTTGAAGCTTATCGTCGAAATTGCTACAAAAGTAGACAATTTTTTTAATTCTTGAACCAGATATGCTTAGTTAACTCTTTCTCCAATGTGCATTCATCCAATTAATTGACATTTAGTGGATCTGTTTTGGTAGTTTCAAAAATATTCAACTATTTTGCGATAAAGTGGGATCCCGTTTAGGCATGCAATGCCTTAAGTGGTTCGGCAGGATGACTATGCCACTGGTAAGTGGCATTAATTTTGTACACCCTAGTGTACTAAATAATGGAATTCGGTTCAAGAAATGATGAATTTGATCTTTATTTATGGTTCAAATCTGGAAGAGCCAATAAATCACATGAAGATGTTGTGCTGGTTAAAATCTAAGAAGGTAACAAGCGAAACATTCAAGAATACGCAAAAAGCCGACCAAGGTTCAAAGTTAAGAAACGCGCAACAATCTGTAGTTGGCCTTTGCTCAGGTAGGCAAAAGGTCATTCTTTTAAGCAACTGGCTTTTCGAGGTTGCAAACTGAGTTTATTAGGTAAGACTCAAATGAAAAATAAACAATGGTTAATACCATGACAACCACCATTATCCACACAGAAAGCTGGTACTCACGCTGATACCGTTTCTGTCAGTGGGATGAAATTGTACAAGTGTCGTCTGCTGTGAGGTTTTGAATGTCGACGTTAGTGACTTGACAACTTGTAGATCTTTCTCCCTCAAAAAGGCTCAAAGCTGATTGGTCGAAGCGTAAAAATCGCTCAACAAAACTGAAGAAATCGGATTTGGGTGTTTGCACAAACCGCACGCTCTAGACGTTACCGTTGACGGCAAATGGAGCGTATTTTGTAGGAAAAAAGAATCTTTATTGCTCCAGCCATCAAAACTAGGGGTGCATCTTGCAAATGCTCTACCTAGGATTAAGTTGATTACAGTTTATCAGAGAGGAAAGGGAGAATTATCCATAATCACGGGGATCATGTCGTAGTCCAATCTATATTTATTGATTAAGAAATAAAAGAGGATTTAAAGATCGATAATACTATTTTGCTGTCCTGCTGCGCCATATTCTTCTGAATTTTTGGCCCAACTCATTGGGTCTAACCGCGAAGGAATGACTCATAGCTGTTGAATCACCACGCCCGTAGTTGGTGACTAATGAATCCTGGTACTTTTGAAATCGATCTAAAGAGAACCACCTGTGCCAAAAGTGTTCCACACGAAATGCCACGTGTTGCAGTGAATTCGGCCCGGTAGAGTTGCAAGTTGGCGTAAATTCGGCTGGTCAGCTAGTTTATTCGTGGCGTCAGCGCGGCTAGAAAGGAGTGTGTCCCGAAAGAAGGAAGATGGCAGGCGTCAGCTACTCGGGTTTCTGGTGAGCACACAGAAGTGGCCATTTTTTAACAATTTTTGTCGCCAAGCCTCACTTTTGCCACATAACTGAAACTAATCTTTGTTAGATTAAATTCAAGAATTTCGCTTAAAAAATTCCAGGCTGAAAGTCACTTTTTGGATGAGTAAATGACATTTTTGATTGCGGTCTGTTTACATAATGTTATCCACTTCTTTCCAAAATCTGGTTGCAGACCGTTGTATATAATACGCCGTTCATATATTTCGGTTATTACGGTCCGACTCGTTGCCTGAAATTAGACATTAATTATGGAAATTTTAAGCTCGTAAACCACGCACAGCCTGTTGCCACAGTGATGCCTTCTTTAATCGTCTTCATTGGGTGGGCTTTTTCAAATTTTGTTAAGGATTTCGCTCCAATTTTGACAGAACTCTACGGAAAGCCCTGTTGGTGGGGTGATGACGATGATTCTCAGGAAGACAAAGCGCCATCCAAGCCTACTTCTGCACAGCCGTCCGGTGAAGTGTCCACCAGTAAAACGCCAACCTCCCCTGGGCCGCAGGGTAAGCTAGAGATCCACTTTTTCGCTAAATACTCGCCTCTCACACGGTACTTATCTATTGTGAGTAGACAGTTATGGACATGTCCCAGAAATTTTCCTTTTTGCTTTGCTTTTAATCTTTTCTTTTAATGCGCTTTTCATATGCCACGTTTAGTAAGTTGTGCGGCTTAGTCGGGCCCGGCATTTTTACTTTTTTTTCAGGAAACCTTTAAGTTTTATTTGAGCAAATTTGCCTCAATGACTCTTGACTAAATTCACCAATAAATCGGCCTTATTTTCACTTCCGTTTGATAAAATGGACGGCCAATGCACTTTGATTTACTGGTTACAAGCAAAGCACGTACAGTTTACTTAAGTTTCCTTCTGTTCACCTATTCATACCCTTAGAAATGTCTTTTCAGCTGCCTTTATTCGACCGCCGGAGGCATTTACAATAGATTTAAATGGAGTTGTAACAGGTAAATGGTAAGGGAGACTCATAGCTCCCGCGTTTTGGCACTTACTACCCTTAACCCTGCTTCAGCGCTGTTCATTCGAAATTCACTGCTACCACTGACACCTAAAATCATTCAACCCTGCTTAAGGCATGCTGAATCCTGCTTGTTATCCGCACGCGGCAAACGTTTTGCTAATCTGGAAGTTATTTTTGTGCAAATGCAAAATAAAAGTTCACGGTACTTTGTGCACTTTTACGGGGTCCAATCTAGCCGTTTTTGGGGTTCGACGTTTCGGTGAGAGACCCCAAGGCTCAGATTCTCACCAAGTTCGCCGTCTTCTATGCTTGCACTAATGCCAGTTACTAATGAAATTGTGCGTTTTTGTGTTGGTAATGTAGGGATCATCCTTAACAAAGGCTCTGGTCTATAGTATTTTGGTGGCTTTCTACACGATCAGAAATGCCATTTCATACTCGGAAACCACCTTGTGAAATATGACCATGTCCCGGAGGTGGGTGTAGTAGGGATCAGGAGAGCCCGCTTGCATCTGGTAAAGGTGGCGTTGGTTTTCGTATCTCCGTCTGACAGCTGGTTTGGGCCCTTCTACCGTTCGCGCAAACCCTAGGCACTTCTCATAACTGCGGCATTCTAAAGGCGACCAACTATTGGCTACTTCGTTGGAGGCTCTGCTGCGTTTTTTCACAACTCACTAAAGCCCTTATTTGGTGGTTTATTGCGTCTGTGCATACTTCCACACCTAGCGAAGTCAGGTGAAGCAAGTAACCAATGGTGTATCATCCTGTAGAATGTAAACATTAGCTACCAAAAATGTGTCAATATGTCGCCAACGCATCTGCGTACCTTGTTATTCATCGCTCACGCCTCCAGTGACAACCGTATCATTTTTGTGCAATGACCCCTCCTTCTATCCCCGTTAGTTCGCTGATCCACAATTCTCATTTACAGCCACTCCAAGACGGCAAGCAGAGGCTTTTACAATAGACCTTGCTGACACAGCCAATCGAAGCCCCGTAGGTGGTGCTTGCGTTCCCAACAGACTGCGCCGAGCTATTCAGGATCGGGAGCAGACGCTCAGGCAGATGTCAAGCCCAACAAGCAGACCACCTGCCTCAACTGCTGCTAAAAAGACTGTAAGTAGTATCAACGTCGTTACTTTACACTAGTAGCACGGTTTTTTTACTTGTTTGCTGCGGTTAGAGACAGCGGAAGTCTTTCGTTCGGCCTGAATGCTGCGAGGCTGCAGTCTTCATACCGCCTGATAGTAATTACCTTTGGGATATCCGCCACTAAGGAGTTGACTTTATTGCTGAAGTGGTCGTTCTGCTGTCGGCTCGAGTGCTTGATCTTGTAACTAACCTTCGACATTAGGGGGTGACGGTGCTAATGGCACACGGAATAGTTAAACAGGTCGATGCAGAAGCTACAACAGAACTTGAGTCTGATTCAATTTTAAATTGAGCCTTTGAAGTCGCTACTCGCATTATCAGCAGATTTCGTTTGCTTCCGTTTTTCGTTAAGGTACTGAAAAATATGGCAGTAAGACCATTGGCGATAACAGCCATAATGAGAGTTTGTCGCGGTCGCTTAAAATGTCAATTGAAATTGATTGCTTTTCTACAAATCCGTACAATGGGTTCCAAGTTTGCTGGTTCAACAGACCCAGTGCAAGGGTGTGCATATTCAGCAAGCCTTCTCAAATCTGCCAAAGACCACTTAGTGCTTGAAAATTTGTAACCACTAAACCCCGTTTAACTGCAGACATTAAAGACGACGTCTGGGCAGGCTTCGACACCCAGACAGTCGACCACTCGTCCCAAACCCAGGTCGCAGGTGGGCGCAGCGGCGGGGGACGGAGTTGGCCAGAAGACGACCCCCTTTTCCCCGCGTTCAAAAACAGCAGTCCAGTTGCCTTCGGACACGTCGCCCAAAAGTGTCGCGAGAAAGTCGACGCCGAATGCCGCCGCGGCTAAAGGTCAGTAATTTGTTTTGGATTAACACGACATTTCCTGGTTGCCGTACCCGGAGTCGCCCTTTAATTTCCACAATTTTAAGAAAAAATGGCTTTTGTACACATCGATCAGGATTTCTCTGGGGGGCCTAGATTTTGAGGTTAGCCCACTTCCAGCTTGTAAATGCTTTCGACCTCACTTATTTCTCAGTGTAAGCGTTTTAGCAAAACCTCTTTTCTCCCATTTAATGTGTCACTATACAAAACAAGGTTTCCTTAATACCAACAAACAAATTAGACCATGGGACATAAATTGTAAGGACAATTTAATAGGGTTATAGTGCATTTTATGCATGGTTCAGAGGCAGAGGTAGTTTTACATTAGGGGTCACACCAGGGACACTAATTAAACCACAGTTTAAAGTCCTTAGGTCCAATAACCTTGTCTCACGCACAAGCTGGAATTCATATTTAGCGTCTTATTGGTGAACTAAACTAATGTGAAGCATTCTAGAGACGACGGATCTTTCAAAGTTGCTCTTGTGTTTCTTTCCGCGTAGGTTCGAAGAGACAATTTTATTATTACATGCCCGTTATGGTTTTTGGTTTTATTAGGCACAAAACCACCTGCACTGCAGGCTTCACACCGGACAGAGAACCAAAAACCTCCGCCTCCAAGAAATTTCCCCAATCCGCTTGCCCAAAGGAATCGCATCCCACTCCGCCAGTCCTCCACACCCCTATCCTCGGCCAGGACGTCCGCGAGCAACCGCAGGCCCGTCGAAAGGGGGGGATGTCGAGGTGCTCGACAGCCCACCACCACCGCCACCAAGACCCAGCGCTCCACGACTTCTGGCGCATTCCAAGCCTCCGCTGGTAAGGAGACGATCTAGCCAAAGCGCGACAAGATGCTAGTTGGTAACTTCGTGATATCAAGTTCTGCGAAGCTGCATCGAGGTCTCCTTTGTCTACTTGACAGATTTGTGGCAGAAAGATTATCGTGGAAACTTTTTCTATTCGTATACTTTCCACAGAGAGTGTATTTTGAAAATATCCACTAATTTCGAGTGCCTAGTGGTGGTCGTAATTGACAATTTTTGCCACTCAAGGTTCGCCAACATCGCCATCCGGTGCAAAACAATCGTCGCACGCGACTCCTCGAAGCGCCGCACACCCCCCAGGTCCGCGTAACAAGGCCTACTTGAAACGCGAAACGACACCTCTGTCGAACGACGCAGTCTCCAAAGGAAGCCCAGGCAGCCCGTTTGAGCGTCGAATCACCTCGTCAGTGCGAACTGAAAGTCGTCGGGTCGGCGTCGGGGCTGGACGCCAATTGACTCCCGTCCGGTCGACACTCTCTGAGGAGAAACGCGCTCCTGCCTCTTCACTCAGTAAGCACTCACACGACACATTTACCAGCTTTACAAGTGGTTTTGCTCACTCAAGCTAAAGTTTGTGAAGCCGTTTTAACAAAAATCCATGCCCCGTCCTTCGTTCTGGTGACAATAATACTTCAGGCTGCAATTCCACAAAATTGGATTGTCGTCCGTCACCTTAACACAAAACAGATGAGGCCCCTAATGCTTTTGGGTATTTCGTTAAATTTTAGTAGCATTTATCCGAAATAATCAAACTTAGGTGTCGTTTATTTCCAATTTGGTCAAGTAGGTTTTGAGTTCTGCTGTTTGAGCCGACTTGTGACCTTGATAGTGTTCGGCAAAAACTAGGCGTTTCTAGTCCAAATCTATGTTAGTTTTACTAGATTAGCCAGTAGATTTTGCATTTTAAATTCAAGAAAATGTGGTTTATCTGAGCGGTAGATTTCGGGCTACAATTGTCGGCCTGAATACGCGACAGCTGCTGCGCACAGCCTGTGGGCATGTGATTTGTGTGTTCGTCTTGTCGGAGGATTTGAAATGAACTCTTCGCATGGACCGATTCAATAAAGCATTTGAAGCAATAATCTGGGCCAACATGACTATTTACCGCCTAACTGCGTAATTATGTTAATTTCTAGGAGTGACACGGTAAACTTTAATTCTTCCTCTTGGGTTCCTATTTTACCCAATAGAATTGATGGTTTTATGAAAATATTCGGTTTGTCTTCGCTGTGGTGGGTCTCGAGTACGGGCGTCAACAAATCACATCGCGTCTGCCATTTCTGCTCTCCGATCATTCTCTATACTTCCAAAACAAATTTAGTATGTGGAAGATAATGCTGAGAGCGTTCATTCAGAAATTCACTTCATGCCCAAGCGTGAACATCGTACACTCGACTCAAACTGAATTAACTCAAGTGCCTCCAGGTAACACCGACATCGGCGGGCTTGATTAAGTTCTACACGATTGCAAAAATGCCAAATGCCTGGATTTTTCCATGTACAAACTGTGCGAAAGTGTCAATTGATATCTAGTATCTAGAATCCATCCTTAATACTGCTTTCTTCTTTGTTGGAGATCGTTATTAAGTATTATAGGGATATAGGCTGTAATATTGCCAAATTTTGCGTTATATCTCTTTGAGTTGGGGTATTTTTCGCCCCAAAATCGGATGTCGGGGAAGGTTTTTGAAAACAGGAAAGGGAAAATAGTCCTAATTTTCAGCATAGAAGTTGGTTTATGTTGAGTGTTATTACACCCAGTTGCTCTTTGCTACACTAGTTTATGTAGTTATTTTTTCTAAGTTGTGATATCTGTGTGTTAGCTTTGAATCCTCTCTGTTATTTCGCCATCCTCTTATACTACTATTGTCATTCAAGTAGGATGATAGTAGAGGCTGAGGAATGAGAATTACTGGCACCAGAGAGTGAGTTTAGCCTTTCGAGTTAAGAATAAATTGCGGGACAATTTAGTGCACAACTCAGGAAAGACTGCAACTCGCATTGCGGAATACGTGACAGCGAAGGTAACCAAGCATGGTGCTTACGTTTGCTGTTCACGCCGAAATTTGTGCTGTGTGTCACGCGCTTGAACGGGGAACTGTAAATTGAGGCTACTAAACTCTCTCAATTGAGCCCAGCTTATGCCAGCCATTGGGTTCCTTAGGGTGCACCAATGAATAGTCTGCCGAAATATTTCGGACTTCGAGAATATTTGAAATGACAACAGCCACTAATCTACTAGTTTGAAAGTAGCTCTTAGTTACATGAGCTTTATAACTTACACTATTTTTAAGCCACAAAAGCTGCGAAATTATCGAATACTTTCTCGGATAGTCTTCACAGTTATTAGTCTCTATCTCAAGTTTACTTCATAAGGTGTAGCTATATAGGAAGGGTAACAACCCCAAATTTGTCATTTTGGCTCCTCACTACAAGTGCAATCCTTCTCGGTGTTTACACTTGCCTTCCATTTTTATGAAGGGTGAATTATTTTTCATAGCTTTTACTTAAAGCTGTCTGGAATTATTAGAAATTATTTACCACCAGAACTTGCGGTTAACGTCTTCTTCAAACCCAAAGTGTTTGCCTAACGCAATCAAAGTCACAATTTCTGCTACAATGTTCGGTGCATGATTTAAGGTGTACAGATTAATCAGCGAATTTATTTAATGAAAAGAATAAAGAACAACTAACTAAATCTTGGAAATAGTGCCCACCGTTTCCATGGCTTTGCGCCATCTCTCTCAAGTAACGTACGAATGCCGTCGTGAAAGAGACTTGAAGGCTTCGAGGCAGCAACGTCATCGACGAATTTTCGTTTAAAATCCAGCGTTTTGAAGTGTTTATACAGAAGGACGTGCTGCTGCACTGACCGGAGCACATGGTAGTCGGAAGGGGGGCCAAGTCTGGTGAGTATGCCGCGTGAAGGAAAACTTCCCATCCCTAATTCAAGTGGGTCTTCTGAGTCGTGCGAGCTACGTGAGGTGATCGAGCGTAGTCATGCGGCAGCAAAATGACTTGCTTGCTTTCTTGCCCACTAAACGGCCTTTTCTGATCAAGATGTGCGATCACTTTATTCAATTATCGGCTGTAGCGTTCCGCAGTCACCGTCTGACGCCCATTTTCCAGGAGTTCATAATAAAGTACACACTTCATGTCCCACCAGATACACAGAGGAACCTTCTTCAAGTGGAAGTCCTATTTCGGCGCCGATGTGCTGCGTTGCCTGTAATCTACTCTCGACATCTTTTTATGTTTACAATTCTTGAAAAAAAATATACTTATCATCACCCATCACAATGTTCCCCACTAAGTCCATTCACCGTATATTGTCGGTGGGCAAGCAGTGAAAGACGTGTGGTCATACGTTTGCCTAGGTTGTGTTCGGTCAACACATGTGGGACCCAGCTTGCAAGAGCTTGGTGGTGAAAACTCCTGGAAATTACTGTTTGGATGACTCCTAACTGACCTACAGGCTCCTGTTGCGTTAGCGTTCAGTCTTCATGCAGCAGAGCTTGCAAGTCCGCATTTTTGGACCTGCGAAACGCAGCTGGTCACCAAGATCGAAATCACCACTTCTAAAACGTATGCACTAATTATTACACTGTTGAGGGCCCCGGCATGTTGTCTTGAACCATGCCGGGGCCAATGCGATTATCTACGCCGAATACGTTACCCTGCGTTCCCGCGAAAATATAGAAGACCGGAGTGGGGAGGACACAACCGTTTACTAGACCGCTCAACCAAGTTGTGTCGTGTACAATTGAGTGACATGTAAATATGAACACAGGCGTTTGT